GTGTGTGTGTGTGTGTGTGTGTGTGTGTAAAAAGCATATTTCTCCATTTGACAGCCCTTTAAAAGTAGCTAACATGATATTTTTTTGTAGCCAACAGATACAATACAATTATATATTATATTGATAACACTTTAAAATAAAGGAAAGATAGGATGTTGTTGGATAAATAGGATTTATGTATATGTGACCAGTGTTAACAATGTTTTTTTTGTTTTTTTTAAGTAATGCATTACAATATTACATTGCTCACTTACGCAGTCAATTTTTATGGAAAGTAATGCGTTATATTACTTGTGCGCTACTTTTTCTCTGGGCTGGGCTTTTTTTTTTTTTGGCAAATGTAAAGGCCCTTTCACACCAAAAGTGAAAAGATTAAAGGATTAGTTCACTTTTGAAAAAACTTTTGCTGATAATTTACTCACCCCCATGTCATCCAAGATGTCCATGTCTTTCTTTCCTCAGTCGAAAAGAAATTTAGGTTTTTGATGAAAACATTCCAGGATTTTTCTCCATATAATGGACTTCAATGGGAACCGGATGGTTCAGGTCCAAAAGATAGTGTTAATAACTGTTTCAGATACAGCTTCAAATGTCTTTAAACGATATCAGACGATGAATAAGGGTCTTATCATGCGAAACGATCGGTTATTTCAAAACTTATTCCAAAAATGTAACTTTTCTAAGGACAAATGCTAGCCTTGCTCTATTCTGTGAGGCGCGTTTGTAACGTCACGTAATACGTAATTACGTTCAAAAGGTCACGGGCGACGTAGCCGGAAGTACAGAATCAAAATCGTCCGACATCGTTGTTTTTCCTTTTAATTCCTTTTTTTGTAAACGGTGTTTGAGCTAGTTTGCACGTTCAACCTATGCGTTCAACTTGTAAACACTGACTCTGTACTTTCGGCTACGTCGCCCGTGACCTTTTGAACGTAATTACGTAATACGTGACGTTGCAAACGCGCCTCAGATAATAGAGCAAGGCTAGCATTTGTCCTTAGAAAAGTTACATTTTTGGAATAAGTTTTGAAATAACCGATCGTTTCGCATGATAAGACCCTTATTCATCGTCTGGTGTCGTTTAAAGACATTTGAAGCTGCATCTGAAACTGTTATTAACTGTCTTTTGGACCTTGAACCATCTGGTTCCCATTAAAGTCCATTATATGGAGAAAAATCCTGGAATGTTTTCATCAAAAACCTTAATTTCTTTTCGACTGAAGAAAGAAAGACATGGACATCTTGGATGACATGGGGGTGAGTAAATTATCAGCAAAAGTTTTTTCAAAAGTGAACTAATCCTTTAAGCCTCAGGCTAAAGGAAATGCACATTCACATCTGTACAGTAGAGGGCGCAACTCAGACAAGAATGTTCAGCGCTCTTCAAAAAGAAAAACAAAAAACTAAACATAAATGTGATGTTTATCTAAAGTCATGTCTGCTTATTAGTGTGGTTGATTTGGACCATCGAAGGTCAGCAACAAAGACATTGCTTACTAAACTGAGATTTAAGAAAAATGTGTGTGGCTTCGACAACCAGATGCATTTACACTTGTCCAGTTTGATCTGCATCTTAAAGCACCTCCTGAAGTGGTTTCAGAGATCAGATTTAAACATGTTACGAAAGTCTTTCGGATGTGTTTACACCTGGTCTTTTCACAATCGGATGACCATTGGATACGAGAAAACGCAGGAAGTGAGAAGATGTAAATAGGCCCATGCTGTGTGTATTGTATACTGCAAAATCTTAACAGATTGAGTAAGGTCATCTGGATATGCATACAGAAAATGCAACAACTGCAGAATTATTCCTATAGTAGCCTATGCTTTTTGACAGTCTTCCTCAGTAGTTGTTCATGACATGTGTGTGTTTGCAGTCAGGTGCTGTGCTCGGGATAAAGAGGAGCGCTGGGATATGATCACTGAGGCTGTCATCTCAGTGTGATCTGAGGAAGGGAGGATGTCCTGCTGGCATGTGTCCTTGCTTTAAATTCAGGTTTAGGGGTTCAGTGTTGAGGATTTTCTGAGAGATAAGAAGTTTAAGTTTAGATATAAACACATTCTAAAGGTGATTTTGATTAGGTTTTGGTGCTTTGGTTTCATTCACAAGATGCAATGGAGTGCATTAGTGCCCGTCCACTTTTGTAGAGATTTTGATAGGCTACTGTATTTTTTCCATTCATTTCCCCCATATGGATTTTTTAGTCTGTGTTAATGCGTCATTGGTGGATGAAAAAAAAACCCCAAAAACTCAATTTTATTCTGAGGCCCAAACTGAACAAATCTATTAAATTTGAGGTGGCTATTTTTATGGTCAAAAAAGATATGTGAAATTCTGATTGCCTGTAATGTAAATCTATCTATGAGATTTTTTATAACAGCATAACAGGCTACTTAGATAAAATATCAGTTGACACTCTGTCAATAATGTCTTAGAAAGATGATATTTAAATGCTTAGTTTTATGGTCAAAGCTATAGTTTTAAAACGTAATCCAATGCAATGCAATGCAATGATGAATGACGGAACAAATAAGCCTTCCTTAAAAGCTTGATGATCATGATCACATTTTAACATGATTGGTCTAAAAATGTGTGGTGTGTGGTGATAGCATTTTTTATTTTAACAGGTCCCTCCTGGAGTGACTTTTCCACACAAAACACGTCTCATCGCTTGCGATTTCTCTTTTACTTTCAGCCTGGCATCAGAAGCCCAGTTGGTGGCTCTCAAATTGTGCAAAAATGACTAACTAGTCTACTTTTCTCCTCTCAGACGTGTGTAGCGCGCGTCTAGGCCGAGCGCGGGAGAAAGTGCAGGTGCGAGCTGAATGCTAATGACGTTTCCCGGCTCGTGACTCATCGACTGCGGAGTGCAGTAAATGACAGATGAAAACAGCAATGTTTAGCATGCCGAGAAGCTGGCGTTTTTGTGAATGGCGCTCCGTCGGTTCAGAGTCAATGTCTCGTGCGATTCGGCTCCCGACGAGCGCGTGACTCACATATTCAGCTCGAGATGAATGAATGTCGAGGGGAAGAGTGACTCGCGAGTCGCACACAACGAGGACGCTAGTTTCATGAAAACTTATTGAATGTGAGCATGAGATTCTTTGATTTGAAAGAATTTGCATGCATAATAAATTGCCTAACCTTGACAGTTTTTTATGCCTATGTATGTACCATTTAGGCTACTGTGTTCTGTTTTGAAATATTGAAGATGTGCATTCAGAGCTTTAAGCTTCTTAAAGGTGCAGTGTGTTATATTTAGAAGGATCTATTGACAGAAATGCAATATAAGATCCATAACTAACGTTATGTGTTCAGTGGTGTATAAAGACTTGACTCAATGAACCGTTATGTTTTTATGAGACATAAATCTACCTAACCGCGGGCACCGGTGTGGTGAAGAGATGAGTCCCCCTGAAGAGATGAGTCCCACCTTAGGATCCAAGCAATCCGATTGGTTCAAAGCTAGTTTTATGGGTAAACGCTTTAGTGCCTGGTTACAAATTAGAGAAAATCAGTTTATTATATGAGAGACGTTTGAAGTACGTTATAAGGAGTCATTAATGTATTTTAACTTGTATGTTTCATATACTAGTATATAACCGAAGCTGTAGATTGTAAATTTAAACATTTCTCGGTCTTATTGTTTTTTAGTTAGCTTACATAGTAGCGTAGCATTTATCCGCGGCAAACATCAGAATGACTAGCCGAGTTAAGGCTGTTCCAGGCGGGCTAGTTAACTTTAGATGTGCTGCTGATCCCTGGTTCTGACAATTCCGAAAACGTCAGAACAATGTTTTAAAAATGCGCAATCTTTATAAATAAACCACAGATTTGAGCTTAAAACAACTATATTCTCGACTTAAAAACTTACTTGAAAAGCGCTAAACAAATAAACATCTTACTTGATTGCAACAAACTTCATTTTATCAAGTTATCGTGAGAACATATTTAGATCAGGCATACTACTGGCATACTATGGGGTCCTAAGGTGGGACTCATCTCTTCACCACACCGGTATCCCTTTTTTTTTATTCAAAAATTGCTTTACAATAGTGCACCTCTTAAACATCTGGATCATTTCAACAATGTATATATTGATCAAGTAGAATCATTCTTGCATAAACAGAATAAAGAAAGAAAGAAGAGTGAAAAAAAGAAACAAACAAAACATACAAACAAAAAAAATAAAATTAAAAAATTAACAGATAGGCTACTAATCATCTTGGTACATGAAAGATCTCATAATATTTCTTCAGAAAAGAAAAACATACCGCACCGGTATCCCCTTCTATGAAAGTCGACAAATTGTGACGTCATGTTTCTACCGTAGCCGAACGCGAACACACAGCGCTACAGAGTGCGTTTCGTCAAAGAGAAGCAACAGAAACCTAGAAGATAGCCATAGACTCCACGAGTAGTGACTTTTTCCTTGTCAGTTGTGTAAAATATGAAGTTGGACTGTTTCATGTTAACTTAGTTCTTCTCCCTCGCTGTGTTATGGCTTTGACAATCAGCGGATTAGTACTATTGACCATAAAACAATAACGTTTAGGAGTCACCAACCCGTCGATCGCGGTCGACAAGTCGATCATGGAAGCATTTTAAGTCGATCGCAAAACCAGTTTTCAAAACCAGAGGAAAAAAACTTTTTTTATTCTTTTTTTTATTTTTTATTTGTGTGTAGTAAATGGTGTCTAGGGGATGCAGAGGCGCGCGCACTGTTATTCTGCTCTCATTGGTCAGACGGCTCAGTCTGTTGTGATTGGTCTACTCTGCTCTGATTGGTCAGACGGCCCAGTCTGTTGTGATTGGTCGATCGGTTAATGTATGTGTCGGAAACAAAACGACTATGACCATATCTGGATTTCAGCTCCACTTGATACACAGTGATATGAATAGTAACAATGCATTTACTCTCAGCATGTTCCCATGACAAACAAATTCGATTGGAACTGAGACTGACTTCACATGTGTGTTTGCGCTTTCTGTTCTCTAGGGGTCGCCCTCCAGGGCCACAGTCTCTCTTCATCTGGGAGCATGTTCTAGGACGGACCCTGAACAGCAACCATGAAAAGCTTAGGGGCCAACCGTAGCCGACATCTGTCAGACACCTGTGACCCCACCGCGGGCCCCCAGGAGCCCTTGTGTCCCTTGGCCCCGGACCCCCATGCTGCCTTCTTCCTAAGCCCCACCGTCAACCATTATGGCACTCTGGATCCTCACCTCCATCATTTTCCCGTTTCCCCCCCGACGACCCTGCAGTCGGACTGCCTGTTGCCTCTAAACAACCAGCTGACCAACAGCAGTACTTTCCCACGCCTGCACTACAGCAACCAGCCGGAGCAGAGCGACTACACGCAGGTACTTCTGTTTCTTACCTATTGTAACTCAGGCCCCGTCCACACTACTGCGTTTTCGTTTAAAAACGGAGACCTTTTGCTACGTTTGCACCTCCCGTCCATACTAAAACCGGAAAACGAAGGCCTAAAACCAAAGTTTTAGTTTAGAAACGCTGCAGCGCCGTTTTGCGTTTTGAATCTCCGGAGGGTGTTTTAGTGAAGACGGGACAACACGGAGGAGTTCAGAAACGCTGACGCAGAGGCTAACGCTCGGCTCTATGATTGGGTGTCATCAGTCATGACTAGGGTTGCCACCTATGTCTGATAGATTCCTCGGCTCGCTCATTCCGCTCAGGGTCGCGCGCTCAACCCTGCTTGCAGGTTTTTTCTAGTCGACTATCAGTTGCTTATTTAAGCCATTAGTGGACAAATCGCCGCTTGTCGCTGCAAAGATGAAGATGCGATGCGGACTCGCCATGAACAAATAAAGATGTAAAGACATTGAAAAGTTCCTCCCGTTGGCGCGCCCCTCGGGTGGGAAATAGAGACGTGACAGGTGGGGCGCGCCAACGGGATGAACTTTTCCCCACACTTTGAGCAGCGATTACCATCTGTAGTTAGGGGGCCCCCTAGTGGCGGCGGGGACCTAAGCAGCCGCTTAGTTAGCTCATAGGGAGAGCCGGTGCACGCGGCCACGAACTACACAGTTTTGAACATACGTATTCACGCAGCCTTTCGAAAAACCGGGACATTCAGTGTCCCGGGAGAGTGCTTAAATTTCCCGGGACAGGTTAATAAAAAGAAGGACAATCCTGGTAAACCGAGACAAGTGGCAACCCTAGTCATGACGTATCCTTCCCTGATTCGTCAATCACTGTTTACACCAGTTGGTGTAATGGTCACGTGATCCGCGTTTTCAGTCGTTTTAATGTGGACGAACATCAATTCTAATACGCAGATAAAACGCTGGTGTGGACGGAGATCGTATTTGTTATAGTTCTCCGTATTTAAACGAAAACGCAGTAGTGTGGACGGGGTTTACCTATTATCAAACTTTTGCTAGTATATCTGCATAATTTGATGATGATGTGATTCTCTCAGGGTTGTATGGCTCAGACAGGCAGTCGCTCTGGCACCCTCACGTCCTCCATGTCCATGGGTTTGGGCTTGGGACTGGGCGCCCCCGGCCATGATCAGCAGCGGCACGGCCACCATCTCCTCCGCGGCCGCCGCCAAGATGAACCGGCTCCCGGCGAACCTTCTGGACCAGCTGGAGCGCCACCTACCGCTACAGCGCGACGGGTTCAGCACGTTACAGTTCCACCGGCGCAGCCGCGGCCAAAAGCCGCGCAGCGAGAGTCCCAGCCGCATCCGAAACCTGGTCCAGTCCGTCCAGAAACTCTTCGCCAAGTCGCAATCGCTGGAGGGATCGGCGGTTAAAGGGAGCATAACCGCTGGCGACGCGGCTAAAGCGAACCGGCGAAGCAAAAGCAAAGACCGCGCTAAGACGGAAGGCACCAAACGGCGTCCGCGGCCCAATCTCTCAGGCTTCTGGAGCTCAGACGACGGTTTAGAGGACGATCCACCGACTCAACCCGCCGCCGGGCCGCTAGCAGTGGCGTATCGAAACCCTCTGAGCATGATGTCGCTGGGAAGAGCCGTGTCGGACAGTCAAGCGCCACCCAGACTGAATCCACAGGGCTACAACACCATCGCTGCGCACACTCTCAAATCCTCCAAGAGCAGTGGAGACCTCAAGCCTCAGGTCAGCCTGGCCGCCGGGGGCCAATCGGGGGACAGCGTGCTGGTCAAGAGAGGCTCCTGGTCAACGCTGACCCTCAGTCAGGCCCGACAGGTGCTTCAGAAGGGCTCCGCAACCATCAACCAGACCCTGCTCAAGTCCAAGTCCTGCCACGGACAGGAGATGATGACCTGCAACTTCCTACAGGTTAATGGCTGGCTCAATCATTTCATCATTTCTTCCCTTAAAGCTTGTCTTTGATCACCAAAATGACATATTTAGAAGTTTTTTTCCTTGAGGAAAATAATAGTAATGCCTTAAAATGGCTTGATTGTAACTCAACAACCTCGCCCTCATTTAGTATACGCGGTTCTATGAATATGCAAATGAGCCTCGCCTCCACTCACTCACTCACTCAGCTCAGAGATCCACTGGTTGACGATCACACGTTGATCTGATTGGTTACAAGGTAGTGTGTGATGTCAGAAACACCAGCGATTTCAAACCATGTTTTTGAGACTGCAGTTTTAAGGATGGTTTGTCTTCATTTAAAACACCACATACTGTGGACATATAAAGCTTGATTTTCACCACCGGAATAGTTTAAGGAATAGTACACCCCAAAATGAGAATTGCCTCATCGTTTACTCATTCCAAACCCAGAAGACTTTTGTCGTCAAGTAAGTATGATTCTTCTGTTTACCATATTTGAGTCCCATGTACATTCACTGATCAATGTTGATATGTGAATAACAGCCTAAATTAAATCAGTTAATTCATTCATATGAAGCGATTGTTTCTTTTCAGAACACTCGGATTGAACTGCTCGATTCATTTGTATAGAGTGTTATGATCTCTCTAGAAGCGTCAGAGTTTTGAGTGAACAGAGTATTTTTTTACATTTTGTATTATACTTATTATTTTTTTCTAAATGATAGAATTATTGTTGTTACCTAATTATTGAACTTAAGTTCTATATTAAATAATATTAATAAATATTATTTATACGATAATACATATTTTATTTTATTTATATAATGATAAATATTTTGTTACAAATATATATAATATTTGTAAAAAAATATATGATTTGCATAATAATAAATATAATAGTAAATGCCATAAAAAATATATTTAAATATCATAAGTAAGTGCAATAATAATAAATAATAAATATTTTAATAATAATAACAATAATAATACATATTTATTAGAATATATATATATATATATAACTAGTATTAGAATTTATATATAACAATAATATTTGAATAATAATTGACATTATTAACATGAATGGTATTTCAAGTGTTATGTTGAAAGAAATATATATTTTTCATATTTTATGCATGAAAAAGATATTATTGATATTTGAGCAGAGTTTTAAATATTTACAAATATTTGTATAATAATCAATACACAAGTGCAATATTAATAACAAATACAAATATTTCTATACGTATTAAGTACAAATATTTGTTACAATTATATTTGTATATTATATTAATATGTATTAATATAATTACTAAAAAAGTCAATTTATTTTAATATTGTGAATGACAACAAATTATTGTTCAAATCTCTCTATTGTTCAAACATTTAAAACTCAGAAAACCAACATTAATGAAAAGAACTTGTTATGCATTTTACGCTTTATTTCAAAAACTTTTAGTTGAGATCTTTGCCTCAGATGCATTGTGTGTATTGTAACAGTAAGTGTTTCGACAGGTGCCTGGAGGCGAGTGGAGCGGGACGCTGGGTAAAGCAGGGGCCGCGGGAGAGATCCCGTGCAGACGCATGCGCAGCGGCAGTTACGTAAAAGCCATGGGAGACGTGGAGGACAGCGAGGACTCAGACGGACCCCCTTCACCCAAACCCTCGCCCAAGACCGCAGCTCGACGACAGAGTTACCTGAAGGCCACCCAGCAGTCCCTCAGCGACCAGCAGCCGCCGCTACCGCCCCGCAAGTGAGTCCAGCATCAAACACATCATCAATGCAGTTTAAGACAAATCCAGACACACACACACGCCTCCAAATGCATGCATGCATGATGACTTTAAATGTGATTCTCTCTGTGATCATTGCTGGACTATTTAGATAGATGGATAGATTTCTTTATTGCCATTGTACAATTTACATGCAAGGTAGACAGTTAAGAATAGTTCAAGTACACATGTGATCCTGGACCACAAAACCTGTCACATGGGTATATTTGTGGCAATAGCCAACAATACTTTGTATGGGTCAAAATTATCGAATTTTTTTTTTTTTTTTAGGATATTAAGTGAAGATAATGTTCCATAAAGAAATTTAGTAAATGTCCTAAATTTAAAAATATATTTTTGTGAGTGGATGCAGCAAAAAAATAAATAAATCTCAATGTATAATGTGTATTGCAATGTGCAAAAAAGTCTAAATCTCAATGTATAAATCTCAATTTCAAAAAAATGACCCTTGTGACTGGTTTTGTGGTCACATATTACAATCAAAGCCCATATTGCACCCAAACTGCACGTTAAAAAAAGGCCCATCACACAAGGAGCATTATTTAGTGCCTGCAGTCCTAAATTGAACATTGACGGCGCTATCAGGAACATATTCTCTGTGACCAGCAGATGGCAGCATGTTAATTCGGATCGGCACTATAAAGCTTCATATCTGAAGTGGTCAACCATAGGATGAGTCCAAATGATGTTTATTCTCATTAAACAAGACTCACTTCATCCACGATGAAGAAAAACTACAAAGGATATCTCTTTAATATCTCAATTGTTTCTCCTAGAGTATATGGTGAGATTAAATGGAGGGCAAATGGAGACTTTTGCTGAAAGTCTTCCTGCTTCTCATGTGGTTCTTTTTGAAGTAATAACTGCATGCTTTCATACAAACTTTCATTAGAAATGCCACATGCACATTGCATAATGCTTACTGTGAACATAATGCTTACTACAGTAATATAGTATACACTACATATGAAGTATAGTAAACTAAGTATGCACATACATTATGTGTGCAAAAGGCCCTTTAATGATCGTGATAACATTACGATGTTGCACTATTTAGTTGGGACTCTTATTTTGAACTCTGTAGGGAGTTACCGGAAGAGCTGCTCACTCTTCCGTTTAGTGTGCGACGACAGATTGCATCAGCCGCTGCTAGTGATCAGGTTCACGGTAATCACGAACAGCTGAAGACGGGTTTCAGAATCATTATTGCCTTCCAAGTGGATGCCTTGTGTTCGTGTGCGTCCTATAAAGAGTGAGTGTTGTTCCGTGATGTTTGCTGATTGATGCTCGTTATCAGTAATGACGCAGTTAACGGCTGTTCTGACAATGTTCATTAATTTGTCGATCTTCCAAGTATAGAGTTATAATGTTTATACTGTTATGGTAAATAATGTAGATAAATAGTAAAGTAAATATGATGGAAGATGTTATATTCAGTATCATTGTATCATTGTTATGAGGGGAGCAGCCTATAGTCAGTATGTGGATGATGATTTGTAATGTTGCTATTATTGAGTATTGCTTCTGTGTGTGCAGAGAAACCACACACACAATCGTATAAAGCATCTACTTCCTTTATCACAAGCATGCTAAACATGTTTATGCCAGCCAATGGTGATTCAGCCCATTTATGACCCAAACCCACGTCATTTGAAGCAGGGCCTACCGTCTGTACTCCAGGTCTCCACTGAGTGTGCTTAACTCACATTGTGTCATTGTCCACCAAGTCTTGCATGTGCAACAGCAATCATCTTCATGCTTAAATACAAATAAGGAACTCCATACCATCTGGCGATCAAGCTCTCATCAATCTACTGTACTATCGATCTCAAGTTCCATAGCTGTTAAAGTTTATGTAAAGGCTGTCTCCTCCTCTCATGCTAATCCTGCATACCAGTGAGAATAAATCTATTCAAACTGAACCTTCACTCTGTGGTGTTCTGACCGACACACCTGGTTCACTGCGATCTAACTAGCCCTAGCAGCTTCAGGTAGTTCTTCGCTACATTTTGTGGTCCTTCGAGCCGGAGCGCAGCTGTGCTGGGAGCATGCAACAGAGTGATGAAGCAGTGTGGGCCCCATCCACTCGGCCCAGGCGGCAGTTAAGGCAGCCATCCTATTTGAAAGATTATGAGGTCAGTGTAGCGCGACCGAAGATACATGACTCACATGTCAGCCCGCTACCTCACGCGCCGACAAGGAAAGAGTGGAGTTCACAGCCTCATGTAAAGTGGAGTAGACTCCCCAATGCACGGGATGATTATTCCACGAACTCTGGGGAGAGCGTTAACAACATGACCCTTGAATGGCCACCTGCCCCTATGGCCTATATGGAGGATGAACCGAGCAGGTTACACAGGGAGAGCATGCAGTATGATTTAGCCTCACCTCATGATAATAGAAGGGAATCGTGTGAGTCAGCAGTCTCAGCCAGAGTGTCAGGAGCAGAGCAGCGGGATCCGTCCACAGAGCGATGGCCAGTGCCACCCCTTCCACTATCGTGTGACTCATTAACGTTAGAGGAAGAGGAGTATGATGAAGGACTGCCCCCTCCACCATGGCCTTCGTGTGACTACCCTCCACCATCTGCGGTTGCCAAGGAACAGCGTATGGTCACCGTCATAGACAGAATGATGAGCGAGTTACAGTTAATGAGGGATAGCGTGACTTCCAGTGTCCCAGCTCATAGTCGGCCACATTCTACCCCTCGTAGCTTGAACAGCCCTCAACCTAAACGAGGTCCTGAACAGCACTACGTCCAGTCTTACACTCAGGGGCCAGAACCCTACATGGCCATGTCCCAGCCGCAGCCCAGAATGTATCGCACAGAGGCGGGATCTCTGACTCAGTACCCAGCCAGGCCTGGTACAAGTCAACCTTACCCTGCTCGAGGCAGACAGTTCCCGCCAGCATCGGTGACTCTAGGAGGAGGAGAGTACAGGGGGCCAGCACCAAGAATTCCTTTCTTCGTCCATAAGGATCCAATGGAGTTCTCTCGGCTTAAACTAGCCTTAGCAAACCTGCTACCCACTGACGCTACAGAGCTTTTCAAGTATCAGATACTGGTTGATCACGTGAAACTTGAAGAGGCCTGTCTCATTGCCGACTCCTTCATTAACTCACCTAGGCCATACACCGACACCATGGCGGCGCTTACCGAGAAGTTCGGCCAGCCGCACCATGTGGCTTTGCAGAGGATCGCTGCAGTGATGGATTCGTCTGAGATCAAAAGAGGAGATGTAGCTGCCTTTGAGAGGTTCTCTCTGCATGTACAGTCACTCGTGGGTATGCTACAGACACTGGGTCCAGATGGAGAAGTGGAGCTGAGATGTGGCTCACATGTGGCACGACTCCTCACCAAGCTTCCGATGGAGATGAGAGCGAACTTCAGACGCCAGATGTTCCATCGTCCCGGACATACCCATACACTGCTCGACCTGGCGGAATGGCTCCAATACGAGTCGTGGTGTCAGGGTTACGACAACCCTTCAGACATCCGTATCCAAGGGCTGTCAGGACCTCGAGCCGAGAAGCGACGGAGCAAGCCAGTAGCTACGGTGCTGCATGGAGCAGAGAGCAATACGTCCAACCGAGGATTGAGACAGGAGGGTCAGAGCTCATCTAAGCAAAATGGAAGAGCAAATCAAAACCCTACTGTCCATACTGTGAGGACACAGAGCACTTCTTGAATAGCTGTCCAGCCATTCAGAGACTCACAAAGGAGGAGGTCATTGAGTGGATCCGAGTGAATAAGAGATGTTGGAGATGCGGGAGAGCACATCAGGCAGCTCAATGCGACCTCAAGAAACTCTGTGAGGTGTGTCAAGGGAAGCATCTGCGGGTCTTGCATGACGCCAATGCACGCCCCAAGGCTGAGCTACCAAAGGCGGAAAGTTGTCTGGTGAGCACTAGCACAGAAGTCCTCTACCTGGACAGACCATCGGCCCACTCTCGTGTGCTACTGAAAGTCGTCAGAGTTCTCCTGCGCAACAAGGACAGGACATTAGACACTTACGCAGTTTTGGACGATGGTTCTGAGCGCACAATGCTCCTCCCCGAGGCCGTCGATAAGTTGGGTTTGGAGAAGAAACCTGAGGACCTGGCTCTCCGCACTATCAGGCAGGAAGTTCAAACCCTGAAGGGAGCTGCTGTCTCATTTAAAATATCATCCTCTACTAATCCTAAGCGAACCTTCCGGATAGTGGAGGCCTTCACCTCTCAACGCTTGGGTCTAGCAGACCACTCCTACCCCATCGCAAGCTTGAAGAGGAAGTACAAGCACCTGGCGGATCTTCCCCTCGAGGCATTCAATCACGTTAAGCCGCTCGTGCTAATTGGCGCTGACTACCCCCATCTACTCAACCCTATCGAGCCAGTAAAAATGGGCCCTCCTGGAGGTCCGGCAGCCATTCGCACGAGACTGGGATGGACTCTTCAAGGACCAGCACATCTTACACAGTGGGCATCAAGCACCCAGCAGTGTCTCTTCACTAGTGTCTCACCCCAGACGATGGAGTTGATGCAGAACGTGGAGAAGCTTTGGAAGATGGACACACAGCCATACCAGAGCGTTAAACTGGCAATGCGGTCGAAGCAGGACAAGGAAGCAGTGGAGCTCCTGGAGGTCAAGACAAGGCGAGTACAGGACGCAGGAGTCCACAGATATGCCACACCTCTACTACGGAAGCGAGATATCCCCCCTCTCCAAGCTCCTATGGAAGCTGTGGTACCCAGCCTCAGAAGTTTGGAGAGACGCTTGGCCCGGGACCCTCTACGAGCCGATGAGTATTGTGCTGCGATCCACAAGTTGGTGGAGACAGGAGCAGTCAAGAAGATTGACCAAAGGGAAACCTCAACCAAAGATGAGTCATGGTATATACCCCACCATTTAGTGAGCCACAACGGTAAGAGTCGTTTGGTGTTTAACTGCTCCTTCCAATTCCGAGGTCGTAGCCTCAAT